CGATCATTGCGACCTCCTCCACTGTCCTTCCTTGTCCTGCGGTCCCGTCCGGCACGCTTTCAGGTCTCTACCTCCCCTCGTTCTCTACGAACTTGGTGGCGGGTTGTGCGCTCCAGGACTCGGGTGTTCACCAGTTCACCCCTGCCTACGAGCGCGTGACACACTGCACGTGTGCTCGGACGGGTCGCCACCTGGCTACTTTCACTCGAGAGCCGGGGTCGGACCTGTACACACTGACCACTGAGTCCCCTCAGGTAGCTGTGTCTGCGTCTGCGTCTGCGTCTGCGTCAGGTCAGCTGTCCGCCCCCTGCTCGTGTCGCTCTCTGGCGCATGAGACTGTCCTTTGGCACCACCGCCTTGGTCACCCGTCTGTGCAGCGCCTTCGGGCCATGCACAAACGGGACCTTGTTGCTGGTCTTCCCAGGGTGCTCCCTCCCCTTCCCGACTCGCCTGCTCCTCCCTGTATTCCCTGTGTCGAGGGGCGGCAGCGCGCCACTCCTCACTCCTCCTCCTTTCCCCCGACGACTGCTCCCTTGCAGACGCTCCACTTGGACGTGTGGGGCCCAGCCCGCGTCCGTGGACAGGGTCAGGAGCGGTACTTCCTGCTCGTTGTTGACGACTTCTCGCGCTACACCACGGTCTTCCCCTTGCGAGCCAAGGGTGACGTACCTGATGTCTTGATCCCTTGGATCCGCAGATCTCGTCTCCAGCTCACCAGGCGTTTCCGCTCCGACTTTCCTGTCCTGCGTCTGCACTCTGACAGAGGTGGGGAGTTTTCCTCTGGCCTCCTGGAGGCCTTCTGTCAGCAGGAGGGCATTGAGCAGTCGTTCACGCTTCCGGCCTCTCCACAGCAGAATGGGGTTGCTGAGCGCCGCATTGGTCTAGTCATGGAGGTCGCTCGTACCTCCTTGAGTCATGCGGCTGCCCCCCATTTTCTGTGGCCGTTTGCGGTCCGATACGCTGCGCATCAGCTCAACCTCTGGTCCCGTGTCTCCTTGCCCGAGACTTCTCCGACACTGCGTTGGACGGGAGAGGCTGGCGATGCGTCGCGTTTTCGGGTCTGGGGATCCCGAGCTTTTGTCCGCGACACGTCCGCGGACAAGCTCTCCCGTCGCGCTGTCCCCTGCGTCTTCCTTGGCTTTGTCCCGGACGCCCCTGGCTGGCAGTTCTACCACCCCACCTCGCGTCGTGTCCTGGCCTCTCAGGACGTCACTTTTGACGAGTCCGTCCCCTACTACCGCCTCTTCCCCTACCGCACTGCCCCGCTCCCCCCCCCGCCTCTCTTCCTCGCTCCAGGTGCTGAGGTACCAGACCCCCTCCCCCCTCAGGGTGCCGCTCCCTCAGGTGTGTCCCAGGTAGACCCGGGTGAGCCTGTCGAGGTAGCTGTTGACTCTCGTCCTGCTCGGGGTGCTGAGCCTGGGGGTGCTGCGTCTGGGGGTGCTGAGCCTGGGGGTGCTGCGTCTGGGGGTGCGGAGCCTGGGGGTGTTGAGCCTGGAGGTGCGGAGCCTGGCGGTGCGGAGCCTGGAGGTGCTGAGCCTGGGGGTGCGGAGTCTGGGGGTGCTGAGTCTGGGGGTGCTGAGACTGAGCGTGCTACACCTGGAGGAGCCCTCTCCTCCCAGCAGCTGCAGGAGAGGTACCTCGAGTACTGCCGCCTCCGGAGAGGTGCTGCTGGAGCTCGTCCCGGTACTTCCCCTCCTACCCAGGAGCTCCCCCCCATTCAGCAGATCCGAGAGTGGTACACACGCCGCTGCAGTCTTCGGAGTGGTCCTCCGGGTGCTGAGGACCCGAGCGGTGGCGCTGCTGCTTGTGCTGAGGACCCGGGCGCTGGAGCTGCTGCTGGTGTTGAGGACCCGGGCGGTGGAGCTGCTGCTGGTGCTGAGGACTCGGACGTTGGAGCTACTGCTGGAGCTGGGGACCCGAGCGGTGGAGCTGCTGCTGGAGCTGAGGACCAGGCTGGTGGAGTTCCTGCTGGTGCTGCGGACCCGAGCGGTGGCGCTGCTGCTGGTGCTGCGGACCCGGGCGTTGGAGCTACTGCTGGAGCTGAGGACCCGAGCGGTGGTGCTGCTGCTGGTGCTGAGGACCCGGCCGGTGGAGCTGCTGCTGGTGTTGAGGACCCGGACGTTGGAGCTGCTGCTGGTGCTGAGGACCCTGCCGCTGGTGTCTCTGCTGGTTCTGGAGACGCTACGCGGCCGCGACCGTACTTCGTACCACTTCTTCAGCAGGTTCTTGGTCAGGCTCCTCCTCCCTGTCCTCCTCCCTCAGTAGAGTGTCCTCCGCCTGTCCAGTCGCCGTCACAGTTACCGCCTGCCTCGCCTCTCCCTGGTCCCTCTCCTTACACTGGTCCCACGGGAGGTCTTACAGAGCGTCGTGAGCCTGAGTCTCGTCCTGCGTTGCCTGTTCGTACTGCTCGCACTGGTCGTCGTGTCCCACGTGAGCGTCCTCCTCCTGTCCCTTGCACTCACTACATGACTCTGCGTCCCTCCACTGCTCCTCAGCGTGTCCCGCTACCGTCTCCTCCTGCTTCCTCTCTGCCTACTCTTCCTGACCCGGAGTCTGACTCCCGTCGTGCTGCCAGTCCCACTGTCACCCGTCTCCTCGCTACTGTTGTCACTGACCCTACCTTTGAGTCCACCGCTGCGTCTTCTCTGGTCGCTGAGTTAGTTGACTTTGCTGCTGCCTGTCGTCTAGACTACGCCACTGGCCTTGTTGCTGAGTCTGAGTCTGAGTCTGTCTGTCCTCTGTCCGTCGGGGGTGAGTGTGCTCTTGGCACGGACGTCCTTGAGGACAGACAGGAGGAGTTCCAGTGCTTTGCTGCTGCTTTGCCCCACCTCGTGTCCATGCTAGTTGCCCCTGAGGGAGACCCGGATGCACCAGACATCCCGACCCCGCGCACTTACGCTGAGGCGATGGCGGGTCCCTACTCCTCTCAGTGGCAGACAGCCATGGACGCAGAGATGGCTTCCTGGAAGTCCACACGCACCTACGTCGACGAGGTTCCCCCACCTGGGGCGAACATCGTCAGTGGCATGTGGATTTTCAGGGTGAAGCGGCCACCGGGTTCTCCTCCTGTCTTCAAGGCGCGCTACGTGGCTCGAGGCTTCAGTCAGCGAGAGGGAGTTGACTTCTTTCAGACCTTCTCCCCCACCCCGAAGATGACCACTATTCGGGTGCTGCTGCACATAGCCGCTCAGCGCGACTACGAGCTTCACTCACTTGACTTCAGCACTGCTTTCTTGCAGGGCAGCCTGCACGAGGAGATCTGGCTGCGCTGCCCTCCTGGCTTCACTGGGTCGGTTCCTCCTGGTACCCAGTGGAGGCTTCAGCGGCCGGTCTACGGTCTCCGCCAGGCACCGCGTGAGTGGCACGACACACTGAGGACGACACTTGCGGCTCTTGGGTTCGCTCCCTCTACTGCTGACCCGTCACTGTTTCTACGCACAGACACCTCACTGCCGCCGTTCTACATCCTCGTGTACATCGACGACTTGGTCTTTGCCACTGCTGAAACTGCGGCACTTGCCCACGTGAAGTCGGAGCTGCAGAGGAGACACACGTGCACAGACCTGGGTGAACTGACAAGCTATCTTGGCTTGCGGATCACCCGGGACAGAGCACGGCGCACCATCACCTTGACTCAGTCACACATGGTGCAGCAGATCCTTCAGCGCTTCCGCTTCACGTACTCCTCGCCTCAGTCCACTCCTCTGCCTACCGGTCACTCGCTCTCAGCTCTGCCTTCGGATGAGTCCGTAGAGCCGAGTGGCCCGTATCCAGAGCTTGTGGGCTGCCTCATGTACCTGATGACCTGCACTCGACCTGACCTTGCATACCCTCTTAGCATCCTTGCACGCTATGTCGCTCCTGGCCGTCACAGGAAGGAGCACATGGATGCTGCTAAGAGGGTGTTGCGCTACTTGTGCAGTACGTCGGGCATGGGGCTAGTGCTTGGAGGGCGAGACCGAGTTGTACTTACTGGACACTCAGACGCTTCTTGGGCGGACGACCAGGCTACTCAGCGGTCGTCTCAGGGTTACACCTTCAGCCTTGGCTCCGGCTCAGTTTCTTGGCGTTCTACACGCTCTTCTTCTGTTCTCAGCTCCAGTTGTGAGGCTGAGATCTACGCCACAGCCATGGCTGCCCAGGAGCTACGCTGGCTGACCTACCTGCTGACCGACTTGGGTGAGCGGCCTCGTTCTCCTCCAGTGCTGTATGTCGACAACAAGGCCGCCATTGCCTTGTGTGAGGAGCACAGACTGGAGCACCGAACGAAGCACATCGCCCTGCGGTACTTCCTTGCTCGAGAGCTGCAGCAGCGCGGTCAGCTTTGTCTGCGTTACGTGGCCACTGAGGCCAACCTTGCTGATGTGTTCACCAAGGCGCTTCCGCCTTGTGACCATCAGCGCTTCTGCACTCTGCTAGGCCTTGTGCCTACTGGACCTCACTTACTTACCTCTTGACCTTGCTTGTACTGTGATCACTATATATATATCTACCTGCATGTTTACTCTTGCTAGGTTGTGATCACTGTATCTCATGCTCTGTTATAAACCTGCATGTGAACTGGTCTTGTGACCACTAGCTTGTGCTCGGAATTTGTGTGGTATCCTTGAGATCCACCCTGAGCTTGTTGTTGCCTTGCTTTGCCTTGACTGGTCTTGTGACCCCTAGGTCTCCCCCACTTTGCCTATGGGGGTGTGTCAAACATTATATGTGTTGTGTTTGTGTAGGCTGTAGTGGGTTAGCCTATAGGGGGGTCACAACATTAGGGTTTCATATTTGTACTCACAATCCTTTCTAGTTCATCATTCCAGTCTGTTCATTCTGACAGTGTGTCCTCCCGTAGTTCCTCTCCAATCCTGTGCTTCTTGTGGCTCAAGCGCCACCGCATACCCTCCCCACTCTCACATTCCTCCCCCCGTCCCCTTCCCATCTCTCACCCCGCCCCCTCTCCCCTCCCCCTTCTTACCCCCTCCTTCTCTTCCCCCCTGCAGGTGCGCGGGTCAGAGGCGGGCAATCTGGGCGGCACGCGGGAGGCGCAGAGGGACCTGTGGGAGCACCAGTTCCCGTCGCACAAATGCCGCGCCCGCCGCCTGTTGCTCGTGCACTGGCCCCCGCTGCCCCCCGCGCTCAACCGCTCCTGGGCGAGGGGGGAAGAGGGGGGGGAGGGGCTGGGGGGGTGGTTGGCAGGGGCGGTGGAGGCGATGGGGGAGGCGCTGGCGATGGCGGTGAGCAGTGGGCGCGTGCTGGTGGCCGTGGGGGGATCGTTCGGCCCCGCCCAACACCCCGCCTGCCAAGGTGAGTCGCTTATTAGTGGCAGGCATGAGGATGGCATGATGGATGGCATGCGGGATGGCATGATGGATGGCATGCGGGATGGCATGATGGATGGCATGCGGGATGGCATGAGCGATGGCATGAGGGATGGCATGCGGGATGGCATGAGGGATGCCATGAGGGATGGCATGAGCGATGGCATGAGCGATGTCATGAGGGATGGTATGAGGGATGGTATGAGGGATGGCATGAGGGATGGTATGAGGGATGGCATGAGCGATGGCATGATGGATGGCATGAGGGATGGCATGAGGGATGGTATGAGGGATGGTATGAGGGATGGCATTAGCGATGGCATGAGGGATGGCGTGAGGGATGGCATGAGGGATGGCATGAGGGATGGCATGAGGGATGGCATGAGAGATGGCATGAGCGATGGCATGAGGGATGGCATGAGGGATGGTATGAGGGATGGTATGAGGGATGGCATGAGCGATGGCATGAGGGATGGCGTGAGGGATGGCATGAGGGATGGTATGAGGGATGGCATGAGGGATGGTACGAGGGATGGTAGAAGGGATGGCATGAGGGATGGCATGAGGGATGGCATGAGGGATGGCATGAGGGATGGAACGAGGGATGGCACGAGGGATGGCATGAGGGTTGGCATGAGGGATGGCAGGAGGGATGGCATGAGGGATGGCACGAGGGATGGCATGAGGGATGGCGAGGTGCATGGCGTGTGGCAAGAGGGATGGCAAGAAGACGTGAATGCACTGAAGGTGGTTCAATGCTTGTTTTTGCCACTTGCGGCCTGGATTCCGCTCCAACTCCTCCCCCAAATGAATTTCGCGTGTCCGATCCACGCTCACCGCACCATGAGGAGAGATTACGGGGTCCGCATGAGTTGTGAGTGTGCTCGAAGCTTTGCCTGCATTCTCTAGCACTTTGCATGACGAAATCACAATGAGGAGAATGATTACATCAGAGCCTAGCAACCTAGCAGGGCAGCAGGTCGACCTCCAGCGCAGCATGGTCGACCGCCTGCCAGCGTTGCGTAGAGGAGTCGCGCCAGCGCTACTGAAGGGCGACCTGCCAACAGAGCATGTCGACAACGTGCCAATGCTTCAAAAGAGCGGCCGTCCAGCGTGGCACCCGTAGATGACAGCAGTGCGCACGCTCGCAGGTGCGTGCAGACGATTGCCCGACATGCACCGCCATGCGACATGTCGGCTTTTGTCTGCGCCTGATGGGCCACATCAAATTCGGTATACCAGCCCGAAGTTGCCTTCGCCATTGCAGCCTCGACAACGTTCACATCCCTCCGCAAACCCTCGTCGATAAGGTTACCTAGCGGACCTGGTCGACCACCTAGCATCCTGGTCAACAAACTCCCTCGTCGACCACTCCTGCCGTCGACAGCCTCTTCGACGGTCTCACGTAGGTTGACGATCACCTTGTCAATCATATATTTATATTACAGTTTTGGGGTAGGCTGTAGTGGGGTAGATCATGTGGGGTATAACCCCTTAGGGTTTTCCTCATGTACCAATTCTCTCGATAGTCTGATCCATCCTTGCCTAGTCTCTAACATGGCATCTAGAGTAGTAGGTCCTTAGGGACCTAAGATTCGAGCCCACCTGCAAATGAGTTACCTCACCTACAGCCTTGCCTACCTGCCTGCCTTGCCTGCTGCCCGCGCGCGCCTCGGCTGCACGCGTGCTTGCAAAATTTTTTTAGCGCGCCCCGCTGCCTTAGCCGCCCGCGTGCTCGCTGCTGTCGCGCGCAGCCCGCCGCCGCTCGCAGCCCGTCGCCACGCGCAGCCCGCAACCGCGCGCAGCTCGTCACCGCGCGCAGCCCGCAGCCGCGCGCAGCTCATCACCGCGCGTAGCCCGCAGTGTTGTTCAGGATCCGTCACTTCGAGAGCTTACGACGAACTCATTTCTCAACTAAACGCAAATCCGCTCAGTAGGATGTTGCGCCTTAGGCTCAGCTACCATCTCCAACTTGAATCAGTTAATAAGATGGTCTAGGGAGTGAGAACCACGTGGAAATGTCCAGCTGCTGCATGACTAGAATGGTGGAGGAAGTACAAGCATTAAGGCATGGAATGGTTGGAGTTGGGGACTCCAAGAGAACCATGAGAGGGAAGGGGTTCTCCAAGAGCTAGGGAAGGATGGTAGGAACCTTCCTAGCAGCAAGGATGCAACCCTCATCATGAGGTCCTTAAGGTGTCACATGCAAAATCCAATCTAGTTGGATTTTGCCTAGGTGTTGCAACATTTGCAACCCATGCTAGAAACTTCTAGCCACCCCAATCCAAAAGTCAAAGTTGCCTTCCTAACCACCCAACCAAAGATCCCTTTATAGTCATGTCCCAATAATCTCCCCAATTAGATATAACCCCAAAATGGTAATAAGAAATCCAAGTTTTGAAAATCTTGTAACTTGGGCGACCTTGGTCGGAATAAGGCGATCTTGGTATCGTTGGAAAGCTCTGAATTTCTCCTGCACGATCAAGCATGTAGACTTGGAAAAAACACAGAGATGATAAAATCCAACAGCCATGCGTAATGACATATGCTCATGCAAATAATGCAACTACACATAGCACGAGCACTCGGCAGGACGTTAGGATGACATGCACTCAGAATGACGTGCATCCAACACGCAGCCGCGCGCAGCTCGTCGCCGCGCGCAGCCCGCAGCCGCGCGCAGCCCGCAGCCGCGCGCAGCCCGTCGCCGCATGCAGCACGCTGCCGCGCGCAGCCTGCAGCCGCGCACAGCCCGCAGCGGCGCGTGCCTGCCCTGCCTGTGCTCCACCGCCTCGACCTGCGCGCTTCGTCACCCGTGAGCCGTGCGCCTGCCTGCCTTGAGCTCCTGCCTGCCTTGAGCGATTGTCTGCCTTGTATCTGCCTGCCTGAAGTGCGCCTTGCCTGAAGTGCACCTTCCTGCCTTGCGCCTGCCTGCCTGAAGTGCGCCTGCCTATCTTGTGCGCCTGCCTGCCGCCTGGGTCTGCTGCCTTTGCCTACTGCCGTTTCTTGCTGCCTTGGCCTGCTGCTAGTGCTACGCTACAAGCATGGTGACGCTTAACGTCCTCGCGTTTGAGCCTGACGGTCGCCCGATAGAATTTGCCACCTGGCTCGACGATCTGCAACTGTTTCGCATGACTGATGCCAGAGACGGCGTGTCACTGTTCGATCACGCGACTGGCACTGCCGCTGCTCCTGCTGACACTGCCACTGCTCTCGACCGCTCACAGTGGCAGACTCGCGATGCTGCTGCGCGCCTCGCTATCCGCAACCACCTGCCAATCGCTGAACGCACGCATTTTAGTCAGCACAAGACTGCTAAGGCACTGTATGACGCTGTAGTTGCGCGCTATTCCTCCCCAGCCACTGCAGCCGTAGGTCGTCTCATCCTGCCCTACCTGTTCCCCGACCTGTCCTCGTTTACCACCGCTGAGGACCTCATCTCTCACCTCCGCGCTAGTGACGCCCGCTTTCGTGCCGCTCATACTGACGAGTTCCTCGCCAAGAACCCCCCCCGCTGTACTTTACCCTCTACATCCTCGTCACCCGCCTCCCTGACACTCTTAGCTCGGTCAGGGACCATTTCCTCGCCAAGGACCCTACCACCATCACTTTCGACGACTTCGCGCGGCAGCTTCTGGCAGCAGAGAAGAACATTCTAGCTGTAGGTGCTGGTCGTGGCACTCCTTGCACTCCCCCTCCCCCCTTGCCCCCTCCTACGCTTCTGCTGCTACTGCTGTCGACCTCCTCGGTGCTGAGAAGGTCGCAGCTGCTTCCGCTCCTAGTGGGAAGCGCGGTGGTACCAGGGGCAGCAAGGGTGGCAGGGGTGGTGGAGGTGGCGGTGGAGGGAGCGGTGGTGGAGGCGGCGGGGGTGGTGGAGGTGGTGGGGGTCGTCGTGGGGCGGCGGTGGGACCAGGAGCAACGGAGGTGGCAGCGGCGGTAGTGGGGGAGGAGGCAGCGGTGGTGGTGGTGGAGGTGGGGGAGGGAGTGGGACTGGCCAGAAGGGGAGCTTCAGTGGTGGCCAGCAGCAGCAGCAGCAGCAGCAGCAGCCGCAGTAGCAGCAGGTGGCTGAGCCAGACCCCCTCTTCACAGCAGCTCCATGACTGGTATGCCGGGCGTGGGGCGTCTGGGGGTCCTGGTCGCTGCCCCTATGTCATTCGCGCCGGTCCCCGCAAGGGTCGCACATGCAACGGCTTTCACGCTGAGTCCCGCTGCTTCGCTAGCCTTAGCGACGCCTGGCGTGCCAAGTTTCCAGAGGCTATTGAGTTTCCCAACTGGGCAGACCTGCTTAGGCGTGGTGTTCCTGCATTTGATCTTGACTTTTATGCTATTCTTGCTGCCATGTATGCATTGACTATTAGTGCTGAGGGTGACTGCTACTTGTGTGTGCCGCCTGATCCCGGTATAGCCCCAGGTATAGCGCCTGCAGCTCTAGGTGCTAGTGAGTCTGCTCTGGCCTTGCACACCTTTACACTTGACTCTGGTGCTTCCCGCTGTTTCTTTCACGACAGCACCACAATCACTCCCCTCCCTGCACCTGTCCCTGTCTCACTGGCTGACCCCTCTGGGGGCCCAGTGCTTGCACGGTCCACCACTGTGCTCCCGTGTCCGGCGGTCCCGTCTGGTGTGTTGTCTGGTCTCCACCTCCCCTCGTTCTCTACGAACCTGGTGAGCAACGCCGTCCTTCAGGATAGTGGGGTTCATACCTTTACCCCTGCTTGGCAGCGTGTGGCGATCTGCACGTGTGCACAGACTGGCCGTCACCTGGCTACGTTCACTCGTCAGCCGGGGTCGAGTCTCTACACACTGACGACTGTGTCTCCTCAGGTCGCTGCTGTTGGTCAGGTGTCTGCCTCTAGTCTGGTAGCCTCCCCCTGCGAGTGTCGTCGCCTGTCGCACCAGACTCTCCTTTGGCACCACCGCCTTGGTCACCCCTCCTTGCCTCGCCTGCGTAGCATGCACTCTCGCTCCCTGGTCTCTGGTCTTCCCAGGTCTCTGCCTGCCCTCCCTCCCTCGCCTGCGCCGCCCTGCATTCCTTGCGTCGAGGGGCGACAGCGCGCCGCTCCTCACTCCTCCTCGTTTCCTCCCACAGAGGCTCCACTGCAGACGCTCCACCTGGACGTGTGGGGCCCAGCCCGCGTCCAGGGGCAGGGCCGCGAGCGGTACTTCCTACTGGTTGTCGACGACTACACGCGTTACACCACGGTCTTCCCCTTGCAGCGCAAGGGGGATGTCCCTGCTGTTTTGATCCCTTGGATCTGCGCTGTTTGTCTTCAGCTCCGCGAGCGGTTCTGGTCGAACTTTCCTGTCCTGCGTCTGCACTCTGACAGAGGTGGTGAATTCTCCTCAAACCTTTCGGCAGCCTACTGTGCGGAGCACGGCATCCGCCAGACGTTCACGCTTCCGGCCTCTTCGTAGCAGAATGGGGTTGCTGAGCGCCGCATTGGCTTAGTCATGGAGGTTGCTCGTACCTCCATGATCCATGCGGCGACTCCCCATTTTCTTTGGCCGTTTGCGGTCCGGTACGCCGCGCATCAGCTCAACCTCTGGCCCCGTGTCTCCTTGCCGGAGACCTCGCCCACACTGCTGTGGACGGGGAAGGTTGGCGATGCGTCGCGTTTCCGGGTCTGGGGTGCTCGTGCCTTTGTCCGCGATACCACCGCGGACAAGCTCTCCGCTCGCGCCATTCCCTGCGTCTTCCTTGG